AAAGGACAGGTGTCATACAATTCAAGTTTTATTTATGACCTAACTCAGAGTTCCTCAACTTTGATATTACTGTCATTTGTGTTGGGTAATTCTCTGTGGCAGGAGACTGATTCTCCTATGCATTAAGTGATCAGCAGCATTTAGGCTTCTATTCACAGGACGTTAGTAGCAACTCCTCACTCCCACCTGAGTCTTGACAACCAAAAACACTATCTCCAGAACTTGCCAAATGTCCCCTGGTGGGTAAATTCACCTGACTGAGAACCACTGATCAAGCCTTATATGTCCATATATATAATATTCCACTCCATTTCACTCTTCAGAAAGAACTCTTACCTTCAAGGAGCTTACATTTTAATGGCAAAAAAATGCAAAAGTCAAGTTTTAAAATGTTACTGCATTTTATTGAGGAGGGCATCAAAATTACAGATCAGGTGAGTTTTGTCCACGACAGATCTACCCTCTTCCCTACTAATTTACACTTATCAAACTGTACAAATTCCTCAAAACACTGATCTTTTATTCAGTTACTATGTTATTTAGAGCTAAATGTGTTTTACACAATTTCATCTGGAGTCACACCATCTGGATTCCTTGCTCTTCCAAACTCAGTTTTGTGATATCAACCAAGTTACTTAACTTCCTCGTGTCCCTGTTTTCTTAACACAGTGGGTATATCAAGTTCTTAAAGCAGTGCCTGGCATATAGTAAAAGCCCTGTAAATGTCAGCTATTACCTATTATCTTAACTACAAGCCTATAAAGACAAGCATCATCTTCACCAATTCACAGATAAAAGAAACAGAGGCTGCAAGAAACTTGCCTAGAATCGTAAAATTATAAGGTTACAGAGCAGTGATCCTAAAACAGTCAGTCTTGACTCCAGAGCCCATGATTTTTCAATCATGTCAGTAAGCTTACGTTAAGACTCACTAACTATCAAGAACATACTGGTTTCTTACTTCAAAATAATAACTGGCACTAGACACATTTTCTGTAAGACATTCATTTAGAACACAAGTGAGTTCAAATGTATTACAGAATTAAGACAACAGGATTTACATATCAACAGAGACTTTCAGTTTCTATCTATTTTAAATGATTCTTACTTTAAAAAATAAGAACACAGACCTTAACTCCTGAAATTGTTTAAACACTATACTGAAGCAATCTACTGAAATCAGTCTAATAAAAGACCATCAACAGAGTTGTTTGAGACAGAGGTTACCTTGTATACTGCATTTGTTTAGTGTCCTGTTCTTCCTCCAAGGTCATGGGCTTCGTACATGATGTTTGTTCCCAAGTCCCAGAAGGGCTCTGTATACCCCTTTGGTTTCTTCGATTTGCCCTTACCTCACACCCAAGTTCTTAATGACTCCTGAACACCTTACTCAATTTTTTAACCACTGCCTTTCTGTCATACAACTTATTAATCATTTTTACTTAAACTTTACCATTTCCAACATTTCTTAATGGGATCACCAATGACTTTTTCATCACCTCTTCCTAAAGGCATTTCACTGAAGTCGTCAGCTTTTCAACATTTTTCTTTTTTTTGGACTGCATATTTTTTTATTGAAGTAAAGCTGAATTAAAATGTTGTGTTAATTACTGCTTACAGCAAAGCGACTTAGTTATAGATATACACGTACATTCTTTTTCTATGTCCTTTTCCACTATGGTTTGTCACAGAATATTGAATATAGTTCCCTGTGCTATACAAAGTTGCTTTTAACATTTAACAACTAATGAATGACATGTTCTTCAACCTGGACTACAAAAACTACTCATTTTAATGTTGGAAGTCAGAGCACAGGTAGAATGACTGGGAGCATATAACTTTAATAGTCCAAGAATACCAGAATTGGAAGAGACAGAAATTTTAGCCCAACTCTCTGGTTTCACAAATGACAAAGACAGATAACTTGGTGACAGCTTCCTCTCTAACTTCTCTTAGATTCTACAAAGAACTTGGCCTTGACCACTTGGGTCCCGTTATTTCGTTTTCTCTTTAGATTACTTGCATTTCAACATTTTTTACTGCCTCCACAATTCAATATCCTCTCTCAATACAGTGATTATCAAAAAGGTTGAGTTGTCCACCATGTTCATTTTGAGTTAATAGTCCAACTAATTCCACCCAAAACTTACTCTATCAAACAGAAAGGCCAAGAATCTCTACTTATGACCAAAATCCTGCCTATCTTCTATGTTACTCTTTAACTACTAGAGTCCTATAACACATCAGTGTCATCTGCTTCCTCCACACCAAATTCCTCTTCCTGTTTACCAGAGGGGAGCAAAAAGAGACAACCTAATCTTAGCACTCATGTCCAACAATTTTAGATTTCATTTTTCTTTCCCCATTATTTTGATAGATTCCTTATTAAATCACTAATTTACCAATCATCAGACTTGTTCACTAACCAACCCTTCTTATCAGTTCAGATTACAAACTGGTAATTAGCACCCAAACTGTGAATTCTAGATGCTGCCACCTACACATCATTAAAAAATCTTCCCACTGTCAATCAAATAAGAAAAATTCCCTCTGACATTCTCTTACATAGTTGCTACCCTCTTACAGGCTTTTCTACTACAATAGCTCTACACATATCCTGCTCTTCACACAAACCCTTTTCCATGGATAAGGCCAATCCTGTATATTCCTTCTGCCTGTTCTGCCTGAAATATTGACACCCCCCCACTCCCATCCTCCTCCTCTGATGCTCATTCCAAAAGTCACTCCTTGTAAAGCCTTTCCTGAGGTTTCTGCTTCCTTCAAACGACAGAGCATTTTGTTCAGAACTGTCTTCTGGGAATTACATATTTATATCTGAGTACTTTCACATGCACTCCTTTTTATAAATTACTGGAGGACAAAATCTCCAGCTTTGTTCTTCCCCTGCTGCTTAGCACAGAGCCTTGAACATGCTAAGCTCTCAAACACAAGAAAACTTGAAGATGGGCTTTCTCGGGATTTTTTTGTAAGTTGGCCATTAAGTCACAATTGGTTTCTTAAGCCATTTTACTAATAAAAATGTTTTATTTATACCCTGACATCTGAACTTTTCTATTTCACTTAGTTTAAAAAACAGAAACAAAAAACCTGTCCTAATTTCAGGGGATCTGGCCTACTGAAACGATCTTGATTTCTTTCAAGTCACTTATCAACTAAGCAAACTCGCCTCCACTTAAGCCATCATAAAAACTAAAATTTATAGGAGCCAGAAAATAAAACAAGTATTTCCAGTTAACTTGCTATAGAACAGGAAAAATTCTGTGGTCATTCTGAATTGCTGCAGGGTAAATAACAAACTGCAAAGAAGTAACAGCACAGAACAAGAGACTGAAATATGCTGTGAGCGCCCCAAAGTAACACCTGCACAGAAAAGCTTCTTGTTAACAGTGGCAGTTCTTACAGTCTTCCTTGATGACACAATGGATGTTGCCAACAACTGCTACCACGTGCAACTGAAGTCTACAATCACCTTTATAAGTTGGCAACTTTTTTTTAATACAAGCAATTCAGTTTAAAAATCCTACGTGCCTCTACACTAGGCAGGGAGTGGAAAACAGAGATGAATATATGACTTTCTTAAAGCAAAAAATCTCAGTATGGTTTTCTCCACTTTGTACACACTCTCTGCATTGCTTCCTTTCCCCCTTTCCCAGCTATTTTCATCAGCCTGATTTTGTTCAGATTGCCTATTATTTGTACTGGAAAAGGAGGTGAAAGAAAAAAAAATCCTGCCCCACGAATCTGATGGAGCAAGGAAAAAAAAGATTGGGAGAGCAAGAAGCATTTTCCCCTCTAGTCCCTCTTGAAAAATCACCAATCTACAAGATGTGTCTTTCAAAGCCCACCTAAAACATGTGTTAACACACACATCAAAAATTAGTAGTCCTCTTGTAAAAGTGGCACTGAAAACAGGTAAGGACATCAGATATTTCGTATTAGCAGACCCTTAAGAACATTCCAGATACAATAGTGGTACAAAAAATTTGAAAACCTTACCTTACTAATCAAAAGATCATACAATGACAAAGCTAAAAATGTTCTCAGTAATAAGCGTGAATCACAGCAGTCACCCTACTCCACCCAAAACCCACCCTTGCTAAGACCGGACCGTTCAAAACCTGGACAGCTTTCCCTGCTTGCTCTACGCCAAACAGGAATTCATTTCAACACCTCAGGGTTTAAGTGTAGCTATGGAGCAGCAAGGGAACGTTATCCCGTACTGAAATTCGCCAGGATACTTCATTCTTTTTATTTAGCTGTGCCTTTACCACATTTACCAAACTCTCCCCCTTCCCCATTTTAAAGGAGGAAAAAGCTCAACAGCTACTCTACTTGAAAAACGAACAATCTATTCAGGTTTTCGAAGTAAATTTGCATTCCTAGGTTTGGGAGGAGAACCGACTTACACTGTCACTATGAATTGATTAAATACATGTGAAGAAGGGTTCCCAGATCGCCTCTGTAAGCTGAGGAACGAGTTTCAGTCTGGTACCAACCTACTCGCACGTTTCAAAGTTATCTGGTGTGGAGCAATCCACTATCTAGTAAAGATCTACTTACCACTGAGGAGGGGGGAAAAAAACCAAAAAGCTTCCTGATCTCAAGAACTGAAATGCACCAACCCACTATCTAGGAAAAGATCTACTTACCACTGCTGGGGGCGGGGGGAAGCTTCTTGATCTCAAAAACTGAAATGCACCAACCCACTATCTAGGAAAGATCTCCTTACCACCGAGGAGGGAGGTGTGGGGGAGGGAAAAAAGCTTCTTGATCTCAAGAACTGAAGTGACCCAAGAAAGAGGCCAAAGCTAACCACCTCAAACACAGCGACAGACCATCAGGCAAGCCCCGGCCCCCATTCCGTTGCCATGAACGTCCCGAAGGAGGGACTTACACAAAGCGGGGGGGGGGGGGCCTCCGCCGCCGTCCCCCTTGCCTCCTACTTATCCCTGCACCCGGAGAAGGTCCACGGGACTCACCAGGACCGTGGTGCAGATGGACCTCAGCTCGGACTCCACTTTCTCCCGGTAGTCCTTGATCAGCTGCAACTTCTTGTCCGAGGTGTCGGTCTTCTGCTCGATGCTGGAGATAACCCTCCAGGCGGACCGGCGGCCCCCGACCACGTTCTTGTAGGCCACCGAGAGCAGGTTGCGCTCCTCGTTGGACAGCTCGGCGCCCTGCTCCGTCACGGCCTTCATGCAGGTGGCCATGTCGTCGTAGCGCTCGGCCTGCTCGGCCAGCTTGGCCTTCTGGATCAGCTCCGTCTTCTCCATGGGGGCCGGGGGAGCGGACAGCGAGGTGGAGCGCGGACCCGGGGGGCTGGCGGGGGGAGGGGGACGCGGCGAGGAGGCCTGAGGGCGGGCGCCGGGGGGCGGGGGGCGGCAGGAGGGCGGCAGGAGGGCAGGGGCGGCGCCGTCAGACAATGCGCCCCGCCGCCCGGCCGCCCCTTTTGTCCGTCCCAGCGCGCGCGGCCCAGTTGAATTTCCCTCCCCCCGCCCACGCTCCCCCCACCGCGGGACGCCCGGGAGGGCCTGGGGGGGGGGGGTTGGGGGGGGGGGGTGGCGCCCGCCGAGCCGGGCGGCTCGGCGTGAGAAGCTGAGGTGAGGTGAGGCGGGGGTGACGAGGAAGGGCCGCTCCCGCGCCCGCCCGGGGCCCAAGATGGAAGCGGCCGTTGGCCCGCACCTTCCCGCCGGAGCCTGTCCCTGAGGAGAGCGGGCGTCGGGGCCGGCCGCTCTCCCCCCCCGCCCCCCCACCCCGGGGAAGGCCTCCCGCCGGACTCACAGGCCCGGCCGGACCCCCGAGGGGGGATTTCCCACCCCCCGCCCCTAGCCCCGCACCCCGGGGCGACCACGGCGCTCACCTTCACGTCTCCGCGGCCGCGGCGCGAGTCCCACCACTTGGCTCCCTCTTCTGGCTTTAGCCGAGGACCCTCCCGTCTCAGCCTACCTCGGAGCCGGGAGGCGGGGCCGCCGAGCCGCCCGGCCCCTCGCGGCCGCCCACCCCCGCCAATGGCGCGTTGAGATATCCTCGAGAGTTCCGCCTCCCTCCCCGCCTCTGGCCAATGAGGACTGAGCGCGCGGAAACGGGGGTGGGGAGAAGGGGGCGGGGCGGGAGAGGGGAAGGGGAGGCTAGGAGGGTGGGTCCGCTTGGGCAAGTTCGGTTGGCCGGCAGGCTGCGGCTTCGGCCACGGGGTTTCCTCCAATTAGATCCAGGGTAAAAGGACGTCACTGTTACCATGGCAATGCTGTTACCAACGCCCCTCATCCTCCCCGCCACCCCCGACACTCGTGGGCGCGGCACGAGAGCCAGGAGGCTCGCACGACCTCTCCTGTGGTGGCCGGGTTCTCCTGCTGCAGCGGCGTTGCAGACGGTTCACTGCATCTTGTGGGCTCCCCATGCAGCTGCGGCTCTCGTCGGCCCGGGTGAGGTCGGGCCTGGGAGGGTGACACCATCGGCTGTTTTGTTACCCAAGCTCCTGTCTTTCCTCCACCTTCCTATTCGTGACAAAGGTTTGGAGCTCAAGACAGTGAACCCAGCCTTTAATGACGTTGCGATGGAGACCGTGAATTAGAAATAATCCCATCCCCATTAAAGAGGAATTAGTTCCTGGAGAAAGTGGCATAAGCTTGGGTTTTACACGATACGTTCGTTTTCAGACGGGCACCTAAAACCTGAAATTTCCTTGGAAAATACCCCCCCCCCAAAAAAGTCCAGGCATTGTCAGATATTATGATTTTCTTTAAAGTGGGAAATGACCTTAGGGATAATTGGGAGAATAACATGCATTTAATCCCCACCCCCTAAAGCAACTGTTTTTATATTTCTTTCCAGACTTTCCAGGTCACGCATTTAAATACTTATTTTTCACATCACTACTGTCTTACATGTACATGCTTTTTATCTTCTGGTATTATTTTTGGGAGGACAATCGAAAAGCTTAACTTCTCTCCCTAGATGTTGACTGCTGACTTTCCCTTGTGAACACCCTTCTGAAATGAGAGCGACCGCCTCAGATGGCTTCTATTCAGGGTCATCGCCAGCCCTTTCCCTTCCCTTTAAACGGGGCGCTCCCCTCCTGCCACTCCCTTCTCTCCGGAAAGTTCCTAGTGCCAGACTCCAAATAAGGTGGCTGTCCTGGGTGTCTGGAGAGTGGTCTTTGTGCCATCTGGGCTCACACTGCCGTGGTTCCAGTTCCATCACGTCCAAGGGAAAACAGATCATTGAGAGCAAAGAATGCCACAGCCAAGAAAGAATTTCACATTCTAAGTGGAGATCTTAGAAGCCCATCTGGAACCCTCTAGAATGGGAGATCTGAGCACTGACAGCAGGAGAAGGTGCGAACTTTCCAGAAATCTAAACTCCCTCCCGGCTGCCCCTGCCTATCCTGACTTGTAAAGGTTGCTTTGTGCTTTGACAGACAGGAGAGGCCTGGGCTGGAAAGGACTTGCGTCTTAGTGCAGAAATGCCTTCCTGTGTTCCAGCGTTCTAATGGAGGGCCCTGCTGTTATTTCTGGAATCCCTGGGGCCAGGCTGTAGACACACGAGTGTTTATGGCTATGTGGGCTGGGGTGGAGCCGGACACCAAGAAATCCCCATGGAAAGAATTTGCATGTGCAAGGGCAGATAAAATGCTTTCTGTATGACCAGTGCATTTCAAGCTTACTGGAATTAGAGACAGTTCAGGCCAGAGGAGACACAGCCCAGCAGAGGTGAGTGGGGAATGGAGACCTCGGAACAGGATGGTCAGGGGATAGAACCTCTGGTAGGGAGAGAGGGTAAGGGCAAGAACACTAATTCTTTATCGAAAGCCTGGACTGTACTGCCATCGCCCAAGGTGACCTTGGGCAAGGTTTACTTCTCTTTGTAACTCAATCTCTGTAATTTCTGCTTTCATCCAATCAGATATTTATTGAGCAGCAACTCATATAGTTACAATCACCCGAACTCATGGGTAAAAACTGCTTGGAAGCAATGGCACACTATAAAATTATGTTTCATCAGGGACCAGAGGGGTAGGTTAAATCTAAAGTCCTCTGCCCCTGAAAGAACTCAGAGAAAATTAAAGCTCGGGGGACTTGAAGCCCCTGGACACATAAAGAGCTAATACTTATTGAGTGATCACTTGTGTCAAACACCGTTTTAAGTCTTTTGCAAGTCTTAACCCATTTAATCTGCTTAAAGCCACTATGAAGTAGGTAGTACAGTAAGTCCCCTGCCTACAAACCTTCAAGTTTCAAACTTGCGAAGATGTGAATGTGCCTTTGACGAAGGTCAGGCGTGAGTGACACTGCAGCTTGTCTTCCATCTTCTATTGACGATCCTTCAAGTCTGCCACCTCCCTCCTCTGGTCAGTAACTCTTCTTGCCTGTTCCCGAGATGCCAGCCCTTGTACGCCAGCTGTTGTACTGTACTACTGTACTTTTCAAGGGACTGTCCTGAAAGATTAAACATGTTTTATTATTTGTGCTTGATTTGTATGTATCATTTGTGTGAAAAGTATTAAAACCCATTACAATACAGTACTATATAGCCGATTGAGTTCGTTGGGTAATTGGACTAACTTTGTTGGATTTATGAACAAATTGGACTCATGAATGCACTCTCAGAACAGAACTCATTTGTATGCAGGGGACTTACTCTACTCTTATGATCACCTTCTCCATTTCACAGATAAGGAAACTGAGGCACAATGCTTGGATCGAGCACAGAGTGGAAGAGCTAACAATGGCAGAGCCTGGATGGATGTACACCTATGTGCACTGCCTGGTGACCAAAGCCCATCTCTGTAATGGCTCTGCCAGCCCTTCGCTCACTGCTGTAGGGACTCTAGGAAAGACCATGCTAGTCTCTGTTCTCTAAGAGTTTCATCCTAGCTTAATATAAAACATGTTAAACATCCATATTCAACATGCTGGGAAGAACTCTAGGGAACAGAGAGCTAAGAAAGAAAGCATCGAGTTCTTACTTTATCTGTTTGATGTTCTTGTTATTTTTTCTAAGTTGCTTGGTGAGAAGAAGCTGCTGGAGGGAACACACTGAGCTTGAAGCCAAAAGATCCTAAATCCCAGCTCTGCTATTTATTTGCAGTTTGACCCTGAACTTCCCAGGTGGCTCAGTGGTGAAGAATCTGCCTGCCGATACAAGAGACATAGGAGATGCAGGTTCAATCCCTGGGTCAGGAAGATCTGCTAGAGAAGGAAATGGCAACCCACCCCAGTATTCTTGCCTGCGAAGTCCCATGGACAGAGAAGCCTGGTGGGCTACAGTCCACAGGGTCCCAAAGAGTGAGACACGACTGAACCACTAACATTTGACCTTAAACACTGGCAGTTTTCTAACCTGTAAAAGCAGTCCCTACCCCAAAGAGGTCGTGGAGCTATCCCACAGGAAACGTTAGGCATACAGCAGGGGTTCAGTAAATATTGGGGTTTTTTTCCCTTCTTTCCCTCTGCTTGGTGGTAGAGTGCAGGGGAGGAAGGGAAGTGCCGGTCCTGTTATAAGCCTCAGAGCCTTATAAAAAGTTAGTAAAGGCTTATCTCTTGAATCACTGTTGTAATTAGTGGAGTTAATGGTCTGCAGAATGGCTACACTCAGTGTACACTTTGGAATGAATGAGTACTTCTGGTTGAGCTTACTCTCATAAATTGTTTCAGTGGTTTATTTGCCCAGAGCAGTCGGTCCTCCAGAGGAACTTCTTCCTCTCTGGCCTTGTGGCAGGTATTTCACTGACAAACATGTAAGTGGGACTTTTCATTGCAGATTTCCGTATAATCACCATCAGTGCTTCTGTTGAGAGGGTGGTGGAAAAACTGCCTGACTGTCCACTCCACCTGGAGGGGCTAAATGAGATTCACTGAGAGCCAGGGCAGTTTGGTCAGGGCAGGGTCTTCTCACACATTTCCTGGCTGAGGGCTGGGGTCAGGCCAACGAAACTCAGTCTCCCATCAGCCCTGCAGCGAGTGAAGCTCATTCTTGCCATCTGCAGACATCCGTCTGTGCTCGTGGGTGTCCCGATTCTGGCACCTCCTGGACACCCATGGGCTATTTATTGTTTTCCAACTCTCACTGTGTGTTCTCAGAGAGAAATATCTAATCAAATCATTCCGTCATTAAAGAACAGATAAGTCTTCCGGCAATAGTTCTTCTGCTACAATTTGCATTCTAAACGAAAGAAAGCTCTTACATTTGAAGAATAAAAGTTCACTGGTAGGGGAATTTCCTGACGGTCCAGTGGTTAGGACTCAGCACAAGCCATGTAGCATGGCCAAAAAAA